ACAGTGCCCAACAGCAAATGTTGTCCCGAACCAAGAGCGGCCGCTGCTTGGTAGGCGGCCTTCTGTCTCAAATGGACACCATCCGCGGCGACGCCGACAGCGAATCCGGTTCAAAACGAACAAGAACTGTTGTCGGTCTTTGTGCCCATTCTTTCCGTACCCATGTCGGTCGTCCCGAGACACAAGTTGTGACGCTGGCTGCTCGGGTCGAGCCTCTCCCGAACCCGACCCGCTCCTCCTCTCGGCGTCGTGGCCGCCCCCGGGCTGCGGGGAGGGGCCGCCAGTCGCCGCACGCTCGCCCGGCAGCGGCTGCCCCCGCAGGGTGCGAGGCCCCCGAGCGTGAGGGCGCTGCCCAGACGTCTGCTCGAGGTTCGGTGGGGCGCACAGAGACATACTGATACTATATGTCCTCCTTGGAGGCGCGCGTCCGACCCGAACATACGGTACACCCATCTTGTGGCGTCTCGTTTCCCGAGCGGCGTGGCCAGAGAGCGCCCGCCACGACGCGTATACCATAAGATTTCTCGGTGCGCGCGTCGCTCCTGGGAGGGCGACGCACATATATCATAAGTGTGTTGGGGTGACGCCGATTCGAGGCTAGCTCTTTGTTTGTGGGACACTGCTCAGGCATGCAACGTGCCGACCGAACTCAGGACGGCACTGCTTTTCAGCTCTCGGCCTCTGGGAGCCCTCACCAGGCCCCGAGGCCGTCAGAAAACGACTTGGGATGAAAAACGAGGGCTCGGGAAGGGGTCGGGGCGTCAGGGGACCCCGTGTTGAAAAATCAAGACACCGCGTGTCTGGGTAAGGGGACCAGCTCAGCAAGGGGGTCGGCGAGGAGGAACATAGGCCCAACTCACGTCGTTGTGAACGGAACCCCGACGGAAGACTCTTGCCCGTTGTCGGCCTCTGGAGCCCTCGCCGGTCCCCAGGGCCTTCAAGACACTGAAGGGGCCCCAGGACACACAAATAAATACACACAAATAAAACGATTCCCCATATTTCCCCATACTTTCTGGGTTTATGTCTTCCCCCCCACTTCCCATATTTTCCCATATTTTCTGGGGAATCGAGGATTCATTGTGTCTGTGTGTTTCATTTCCTCCTGAGACACGGCTCAGGACCAAGAGCTGGTTCAGGGGAACGGGTGGAGACCTTCGGGGGCCCGAAGTGCGAACACAATCGCGACGTCGGCGGTCTGGAGCGTAGGACTGGCTCAGGGGTGGGGAGGGAACGTCGAGCCAGAGAAGGAAACACATCGCCGACAGATCGGCGCTATGCCCATCCGTCAGCGAAGCCGCATGCTCCTGGGGCTCCTGTTGGCGATGAATGGGCGATCGGGGGTCGATGCGTTCCCCCTGAGCCTGTCCACCCCAATGATCCCAATCGTCACCACTCTGGTCCCCGTCGGCCGTTCGGGACGATCCAGGCACCCCTGGACGCCTCTCGGCGAGGCCCAGCCGTAAGAGCGCATCCCGAAGGAAGGAACCCTCCAGAGCCCAGAAACCGACGAGACGCCCGCAAACCTTGAAACGATCCCGCCTGACGTTGCCCCCGAGGAAGGCCCCCGTGACCCGCAGGCTGCCGCCGCCCCGCAGGCTGCCGCCGCCCCGACTGGCGGCCTTCGGCGTGCTTTTGCAGGGTCCTTGCCTTGACCTTTCCTGGGCAATGCCCTGGGTCCCTGGGCTCAACTTGGGAAAGGCAACCTCCTCTGGGGCAAGGCTGTCCTCGCCGGTGGCTGGCCAAGCGAACCAGCTAGCAATTTTGTGAGCATAGTTTAAGCGATCCCCATTCCTACTGGCATGGCCTCGGCTGCAATGGCCGATATCCCCCCTCGGATGGGGATATAGGCTGCCCCCTTCTGGTTTCGAAGGGCCTATCCCCAACTGTGGGGGTGGGATGGCGGGGCTGAGATACCATGCGCTGGTAGGGATGGGGATCGGTTAGACGATACCGACTTTGGCTCTGCTGCCACCTTGAGATCCGACGTGGCGAAAAAAGCAACAGCATCGTGAAGGATCGGAGCCAGATCGGTCTTTCAGGGTCCCAGGGATCCCGGAACCACGCGGGACCGCCCGACTCGAAAAAAACAACCGAGACGCCAGGACCTCGAGGCAAACCCGAGGCCGAGGTGGCCGCTGCCGCCGTGCAGGCCTCGTGCCGCGGCCCGAGACGCAGGCCGCTGCGCCGTGCAGAAGCCCCGCGAGTGGCGCCCCGGCTGCGGCCCGAGGCCTCCCTCGTCGCGGAAAACAGATACAGTCGGGGCGTTGACCTAAGGAACCCTAAATAAGGAACGAGGCCCCTTTTTTCCATAAGCTAGCCCTCGATTTCCGGTCGACGACAGAAGGAAAGCCTGAGGCAAGCTGTGAAACACTTCAGGAACGCGGAGCCCCTCCCCAGCTAAAAGGGTCCCTTTTTCAGCGCCCCGACGGTAGGCCTGGCGAAGGACCCAACCATTCGCAGATGTGAGTGCCGCAAGCGTGGATCCCGTCTTCCGTGGAGCTCCCTGCGGGGCCACGAACCGTGTGGGGGGGGGGGCTTGCCAACAGTGGGTGGCGGGGACGCATGGGAACGTCGCCACTGGGGTCTTCGGTGGAGCTCCCTATGGGGCCCCGGACTGTGTGAGGGGTGTGCCGAAATTGGTGGCGCGGACGCGGAGGGGGAGGAAGAGGAGGAGGTGGGACGCGGGGCGACGTCTCTTCAAAACGATGACCCAACAACACAGGATGGTTGGGAACAAAACATACCCCTGACAATTTCTCGCTGTAAATGAACCTGGCGCGACCGCAATTAGGGAAAGGCCTATTGCATGGGCGCATCGCTGGGTGCATCGCTTGGCATGGGTCGGCATTGCTTTGCATGGAATGGCATGGCTTGGCATTGTTTGGCATTGCTTGGCATACCCGCATTGCTTGGCACTTCTTGGCATTACTGTGTATGGGTTGGCATTGCTTGGCATGTATTGGCATTGCTTGGCAGTGCTTGGTATTGCTTTGCATTGCCTGACATGGGTTGGTATTGCTGGGCATGTGTTGGCATTGCTTGGTATTGCCTGACATGAGTTGGCATTGCTTGGCATACCCGCATTGCTTGGCATTGCTTGGCATACCCAAGGCACTCGAGGAACCCGACGTCCCCGAGGAGCCCGAGGAGTCCGAGGCATCTCCAGGGAGCGGGCGACGTGCCCCCCCGAGGCACCAGTCTTCGTAACCTTAGGAACCCCTCGGGCACGCCGAATTGGGGACACCTTGAAGACGGAAGATTTGTGCAACTTGTTTCGGCCCCCGGGTCCCTCCCCGGGACGCGGGGCCGCCGAATCACGGCTTGAAGGATGAAAGGCGAAGCCAGCACCAGGGAAGGGGTCCAGACCTCTGGTGGGAGCCACGTTGCGAACGAAAGCACGACGTCAGACCCTGAGATCCGACGCCACGAAAAGTTGCAAGATCGTTAGGAACCACAACCGACCCGAATCCATGGACCCCATCTTTCCGCTGTGTTTTCCAAGCCGGATCGATCCGTGAGGGTCCTGGGGCCTGAAACGAAGCAGAATTGCCCGTTGTGGCAAACTCGCCGCGCCAGGATCTCAAGGGTTGCGAGCAAAAACGCGACGTCGGACTTTCGGGAGCGGCCAAGAGGGGGGTGTCCAAGAGGGGGGGGTGCAAATCATGACCGGCGGCATGTGCGCGGCCCAGCGGGGTAATAAAACAAGAAGAGGCGCCACGAAATCTGGGGAGATATCATGGCCCCCGCCATGATATCCCCCCCCCCCTAGTCATCACCCCCCTCTTTTCCGCCCCTGAACTTCTGGGGAGCACAGCATGGCTCCCCAGAGGTCTTGACCCGTTCCCCCGGGACCGACTCTTTTCGTCCTGCGTCGTCTCTGTTCTCGGTCGGGCGAGGCGATGGCCCCCCAGAGGCCGAAAATTGGCAAACACCCTCCGTCGTATTTTTTTCACGGCGCAGCGGGGTATCGGGCTGGGGGCCAAAACGAGACCCCCGCACACATCTCGGGGTGCGCTCCGACGAGCACTTTTCGAAGCGGGTGCCGCCGTGACGACGAGAAGCCTCCCCGAGAAGCGCAACGGGAGCCCCGAAACGCTTCCACACAGGAACCGAAAGCTAATCTTACGTCGGGCGTGTCCTCCTACAGGGGGATTTTCGACGAAAAATGAAAAATCCCCCCAAATGCTCCCTAATGGCAAAAAAATGCTCAAAAAATAGTCCCCCGACTATTTTTTGACTATTTTGGAATATCCCCCCTGTAGAGGGACAGGCCCGACTTAAAAGCTAACCTCGACCCTCGAACCTCCAGTCGTGGAGGAGGAGGAGGAGGAGGAGGAGGAGGAGGAGGAGGAGGAGGGAGGAAAGGAGGAGGAGGAGGGAGGAGGAGGAGGAGGAGGGAGAGGGAGGAGGAGGGAGGAGGAGGAGGAGGAGGGGAGGAGGAGGAGGAGGAGGAGAAGGAGGAGGAGGGAGGAGGAGGAGGCGGAGGAGGAGGATGAGGAGGATGAGGAGGAGGAGGAGGAAGAGGAGGAGGGAGGAGGAGGAGGAGGAGGAGGAGAGAAGGAGCAGCGAGGGCGGCGGATGATGATGATGATGTGATGATGATGATGATGATGATGATGATGATGATGATGATGATGATGGAGGATGATGAGATGATGATGCTGATGATGATGATGATGATGAGGATGATGATGTGATGAATGATGATGATGCTGATGATGATGATGTTGATGATGATTGATGATGATGATGATGATGATGATGATGATAGAGAAGGGAGGAAGGAGGAGGAGGAGGAGCAGCAGCAGCATCAGCAGCAGCAGCAGCAGCAGCATCAGAAGTAGCAGTAGCAGGATGAGGAGGTGGAGGGGTAGGAGGAGGAGGAGGAGGAGGAGGAGGAGGAGGAGGAGGAGGAGGAGGAGGCCCCGAGACGTCGGACGTCCGGGGAGCCCGCCGCTGCCCCCCGCGCGCGCCGCGCGCGGCGGGGGCGGCGATGCCAGCAGGCGGCGAGGCCCGCCGCGAGGGCGCAGAGGACGAGGAGGCAGCAGCAGCAGCCCGCCGAGCAGCAGGAGCTGCGCGCGCGCCGCGCCGCGCGGGCTCGGGGGCGGGCCACGGCCGCGGGGAGGTCGACGTCGACGACGCCGACGCCGCCGACGACGACGACGCCGACGACGACGACGACGACGCCGACGACGACGACGCCGACGACGACGACGCCGACGACGCCGACGACGACGAGGACGTCTTCGACTTCATGGCTCCTGCGCGGTTGTGAGGGGTTCTCGTCGCAAAGTGCGGATGCGGCTCGAAGCATCACTTGGGGTGGACAGGGCTCCGTGGGCCGATTGTGAAGACGACAAATACCCCGGCCGACTTCCGGCAAAGTCCCGGCAAGTTCGGCTCAAGGATGCTAGAACTCCCGGGTGCGGTTTTCGGGGCCCTCCAGATCGCCTTAGGAGCTGCCCAAAGAACCTCAAGGCAGCTCCAAAAGGGCCCACGAATCGGAATCAATGCCCAAGAGCGCTCGAAGACGCCGAAGATGGCCCTCCCAAGACGGCGCAAGAGGCCGCAAAAAAGCCCCAAGAGCGCTCCAAGAGGACCTGAAAGAGGGCCCAACGAAACACAAATCATTGACTTTTTTTGTGTGTTTTCGATGTTTTTCGCGTTCTCGGGCTTCTGACGCTCCAAGATGGCCCCAGAGGCCTCCAAGACCGCCCCAAGACGGCCCGAGAGGCCCCCATAGGGCCCCAAGATGGTTCAGGAGGGTCCCCAAACGGCCCCAGAGGCGCCCAAGAGGGAAAACACGAACCACCACTTCAAGCCTTCCGCCCCGAAAGGCCCCCAGGAGGCCGCAAGAGGCCCCCTGGAGGCCCCCACGGGGCCCAACAAGAAGCCCCAAGAGGCCCCCAAACGGCCCCCAAGAGGCTCCAAGAAACCACGAACGCGCAAGCAAACGCCTGCGATGGGCCAATACGGGCTGGCGGAACGAGGGAAGCGCTTCATAATACAAATCAATCGACGACGTCGTCGTTTTGGAGGTTGCGCGGTCGTTTGGGATGGCTTTGCTTCTTTCTGGAGGCTCTTGTCGCCATGGCTGCGGGCAGCTCGACAAACTAGCCAGGACGGATCCTGGGAGGGGCCCCAGTGGCTTGTTTTGGGCGGATGCTGGGGCGGACGCCCGCTGTTGATACTCGAGCAGCTGGAAGGAAACAAGGGAACGGGGGTGAGAAGGGTTGAGGGGAGAAGGGTGAAACATGCAGCGGAATGCTCCCCCAACCCCCTCCCCTCCTCCCCCTCCTCCTCCTCCTCCTCCCTCCTCCTCCTCCTCCTCCTCCTACTCCTCCTCCTCCTCCTCCTGCTCCTCCTCCTCCTCCTCCTTCCTCCGCCTCCTCCTCCTCCTCCTTCTCCTCCTCCTCCTCCTCCTCCTATGTCGGAGGCTGGCGCTCTTCATCCCCGGGCCGTTTCCGGACGGTCCTGGGGCCACAGAGGCTGCCCGCCGAGGCCCAGAACGTCCGAAGTCCGGCCGCCACGGTCTGGTCGCGTCGCCTTTCCGTGAGGAGGAAGGGTGAGGAGAGCGGCAGGCGCCGCCAGCTGGGAGAGAAAAAAGGAGGCAGCCGGAGAAGGGACGGGAGACACGACGACGGGGGGAGATGGATGGGGTAAGCCGCAGAGCGGGAAGGCGACCCTGGCGAGCCCAGAGGCCATCGTTGCGGCCCAGCAGGGCTCACCAACGGTCAGCGCCAGGTTGCCTTCTCGCGGCAGAGAACTCCGTGCAACTGCCGAAGTTCGTGCCGACCATGCAACCCAAGCCAGTGACATCAATCACATCGTGGGCCGACGATGCAAGACAAGACATCGACCACATTGGCTTCTCGGGGGATGGCAGCACAGCTACCATGCCCATTCTCCGGGTCGAAGTGAATTCCAGGAACCCGATCTGCGGTCGGTGCGCGTCTGGCGCCGGGTGGAGGTCCAGGGCCTGGGCCTGGCAGGCGTGCTGCAGCAATTTGTCGATAACCCCTCTGCTGTCGTGGCCGACCTCCCCCATTGGCCCGAAGCTCGGTGATGTGGTCGACGATCGTGGCCAGCTTGCCCCTGCGCTTCTTCCGGCGGCGGGAGGCCGAGGGCGCGCTGGCCGTCGCGTCGATCATGGCGAGATGGCGCCCCCCGTATCTGTTGGCCTTCCAGCGGAGGCTCGTGACATAATGAGCGCCTCGCACTCCTTGGCCGAGTCGTTTAGCAATGGCGCCCGCGTGTCCTTCGAGGCCTCCGTGCGAAGCAGGGCCCCATCGCTGGCAAGGGGGATGAGCGGCGAGCAGAGCAAGGCTGACCTTGGCCACGGCCAGCGGGAGGAGGCACTCGAGGATGAGCGCGTCCGCATGTGTGTGCATGGGCTTGGGGCCAATTGAGCTGTCGACCTTCAGGACCGTGCTCTTCATAGAGGGCAGAAAATCCACCCCGATAGTAACCACCCCGACACGCGAAGCCGTTTAGTAAACGCGCCCAAAGAAGGAATCGAGCAGGGCAGGGCTGTTTAATAAACGCCCAGGGCCGTTTCGTAAACGCCAATTGTCCGGTCTGGGTGGTTCTTCCTCCCTTGACTTAAATGTCCGGGATGTGCACCCCCCTGGCCATGTCGGAGAGGCGGTCCTCGAATCCGAGCTCCAGCCTGACCCAGCTCCTGGCGTCGGAGCTGTTCGGGCTGCGCGTCTGGTGCCTCACGGAGGCGTCGCCGCAGGGCGGGTTGGCGAGCTTGGGCATGACCTCGGGGGCGTGATCTGCGTGCGGGCCCGTGACGAAGGCGCTGTACTCCTCCGGCTGCAGGATGGGGGTGAGCGAGGTAGCCACGCCGGGGGCGACGCGAGGCCCGCTCCGCGACGTGTGAATGCAGACGGGCCCCTGACGGACGTGCCGCGGCCCACGGGGACCAAGAAACACGCACCCCAGCGGCTGCCCGACGGTCGTGTCCTTCCTGGCCGTGGTGGCCCACCGCTCCCCCAGCAGGGGGGGGGAGGAGGAGGAGGAGGAGGAGGAGGAGGAGGAGGAGGGGGAGGGGGAGGAGGACAAGCTAGGTGCGCTCGCGTCATATCTGACATCCTACCCCTCCCTCCCATCCCTTACCATGGCGCAGATCCCCTCTCTACTCGCACAGTCGGATGTCGAGCAGGGCAATGATCCCGAAAGGTTACGCGATGCATTGTAGAGCAAAGCATGGCATGGCGCAGAAGAGCACCGCAAAGCGTAGTATCAACCTCGCATTGCATTGCATGCCGTGGCATGGCGCGGGACATGACGCCAGCGCTGCAGCGGGAGCGCGAGTCGAAACGAGCGGAAGCGTGGAAATGACGCCAGCGCTGCAACGGGAGCACGATTCGGAACGAGCGGAAGCACGCCAGAATCGGCCCGGGAGGCTTCCCGGGCGCCAGAAGCAAAAATTCAGCATTTTCAAAAGAAAAATGTGTATTGGAGTGGCCTTTTTTCGGCGCCGCCTCGGAACTCGATTTTCCGGCGCTGGCTCTGGAACCGGCCTCTGGACTCGGCCCGGGCGCCGGCCCGGGCGCTGGCTCGGGCGTCTGGCCCGGGCGCCGGCTCGGGCGCCACCCCGGGCGTCGGAATCGGCCCGGGAGGGCTCCCGGGCGCCGGAAGCAGAAATTGAGGATTTTCAAAACAAAAATGTGTATTGGAGTGGCCTTTTTTCAGGCCGCCTCAGAACTCGATTTTCCGGCGCCGGCCGGAACCGGCTCCGGACCCGGCCCGGGCGCCGGCCCGGGCGCCGGCTCGGGCGTCGGCTCGGGCGTCCGGCCAGGGCGCCGGCCCGGGCGTCGGAATCGGCCAAGGAGGCCCCCCGGGCGCCGGAAGCAGAAATTGAGGATTTTCAAAAGAAAAATGTGTATTAGAATGGCCTTTTTTCGGCGACGCCTCGGAACTCCATTTTCCAGGGGCGGCCGGAACCGGCTCCGGACCCGGCGGCCCGAGCGCCGGCCCGGGCGCCGGCTCGGGCGTGCAGCCCAGGCGCCAGCGGAAATGATGCCGGCGCTGCAGCGGGAGCATGATTCGGAACGAGCGGGGCCCGAAAATGAGGCCGGCGCATCAGCGAGAGCAGCATTTTGGGAACAAATGCAAGCGAAAACCTAACTCCGGGGAAACCGGTGTGTAAAAAAACAATACGCGGGGGGGGGCGAACACTCCCAAGACGTCATCAGGGGAAGAGGGAGAGTAGTATGCATATTGAGTAATTGTGGAAGAGGAGGAGGACGAGAAGGAGGAGGAGGAGGAGGAGGAGGAGGAGGAGGAGGAGGAGGGAGGAGGAGGAGGAGGAGGAGGAGGAGGGTCCAGAGGTCGAGGAGCTTGGCAACGTCTGTTGACCCCCTAGAGCTGCGGGGAGCTGGCGCCGAGAGGCAGGAGGGCCTCGGAGGAGCGGCGCAGCTCGGACCGAGGAAGAACAAGGGCTCCCAACTTCGCGCTTCGCGCTGCGCGAAGCGCGAAGTGCGAATAGCTTCGCGCTCTCGCGCCGCCTCCCAGGGGAGAAGGGGAGGGTGAGGAGGAATCGGAGCCGAACGGCGAAGCGCGAATACCTTCGCGCCCTCGAGGGCGCCCTTGAAGAAGCTGCGCGTGGCTCCTGCCGAGGGCATCTTTGCTCTCGGGCGTCCAGGCGAGGCCCTCCCGACCTGCGCGCGTCCGCAGGGCCTGCTCGTCGCCCTGCCCTGGCGCGCCGCGCTGCGCGCCGGTGGAGCCGGACGGGCCGCGAGTCTTCGGCGGGAGCTCCCAGGACTTGCGACCATGGCGTGACGAACTGCGCGTGCGGCGTGTCGCTTTCTGGGAGTCTGTCGCTGTCACCTCGGGTCTCGCGCTGCTGGGAAGGCCGTTAGTGGGTGCCTGTGGCAGTCTCTGGGCATCTTCAGAGCTGCCCAGAGGGTTCGCAACGACGGGAGGAACAAACCAGCGAAGTGGAGGGGTATGAATTGGAGAGGGAAGGGCAAGATGATGAACTTGATGACGGTGATGATGATGGTGATTATGATGATGATGGCGGTGAGTGATGATGACGACGATGATGATGATGCCGATGATGATGATGCTGCTGCTGATGATGATGATGCTGCAGATGAAGATGATAATACTGATGCTGTTGATGATGATGCTGATAATGATGATTATGATCATGAGGGCGCTGAGGATGATGGCGATGCTGATGCAGATGATGATGCATATGATGCTGGTGGTGATGTTGATGATGATGCTGTTGTTGGTGATGATGACGATGCTGATGATGACGGTGGTGAAAGTGACACCGAAGACAAGGAAAATGAGTATGCTGCTGCTGATGATGAGGATGGTGGGAGGATGAGGAAGAGGAGGAGGAGGAGGAAGAGGAGGAGGAGGAGGAGGAAGAGGAGGAGGAGGAGGAGGAGGAGGAGGAGGAGGAGGAGGAAGAGGAAGGGGAGGAGGATGGATGGATGGATGGACCCGGCATTGCGCTGTGAGTCTGAAGACACTCACCCCTCGAGCTCACGAAACGAGAGATCGCTCGGGGACACCTCTGAACAGTCGTGCGATCTCCTCGGACCGAACGAGGTCAGGCGTGTGGGCGCGCCGTGCAGCTGTGATCACCATTGATCCGAACCGAGCAGGACAGGAAACAGTAAAACGCCCGCGGGCGGGGGGTGATACCCCTCTGGCCCCTGGGGGCCGAGCTCGACGGCGCGGAGAGCACTGGGCAGGCTCCCTGGACACCCCAGAGGCCCCGAGAAGGAAAAAAAAGAAACCAGGCCGAAGAAGGGGCCGACGGCGCGCCCTAGAGACCAGGGGCGGCGAGAGCGACTAGAGGGGCCTGGTGCTACAGCGAAGCTGCTGGACTCACGTCGTCACGTAGGTCGCCCATCTCTTTCCGTAGGATCCGCCACCCGTGTCAGCCCTTCTGGCCGTAGTGGATCTGGCGGTTCTTGTCTGGCATTTTCTGGGCCATCGATTCCAGGTGGCCCGTCCCCATCTTCTGGCGGCCGCCCAGAACGTCGAGACAAGTCTCCCGAGGGCCGTCTGGGTTGACGCTCTTCCGTGTGATCTGGTCCGCGTTAGCGAACTGCATCCTGGTGTGCTGGTCGTTGTGGCGCGTGCGCAGCCTGAGGTGGAGAAGAGCTCCGAGCCCGTCTCCGTGCAAACGAACTGCTGGTGGAAGGTACGCGGGAGCCCGTGCCCCTGCGGGGCCTCCTGCACCACGAAGGCCGACGGGTACTTGAACTCGGCGTGAGCGAGGTACAAACGTGGTGAGTTGGGGCTTCGCCTCGGGGGACTGCACCGCCTCTGCGTACATCTTGCCCGCTTCCCGAGCTGCGACGAACGATGTGGCCGTGGGCGTGGTAACGATGCTGATCCATTCCGAGTCCGCTAGGTCCCTGAGCAACTGGGCGTGCAGGCGCACCATCTTGGGGAGGAACGTGACCGCCTGCTGCAGGTCGCGCGTCGTCAGGGCGCCCTCCCGACGAAGCATGATCGTGTCGTAGTCCCAGGTGTGCAGCGCGTGGGCCTCGAAGAGCCCGCGTAGACAGAGCGGTGGTCTCGATCGTACAATATGTTGAGGCGGCGACCTGCTCCCATGGGGGCCATGCACTGTCGTGTGTGGGACTCCAGGGCGGACGGGGCGTAGAAGAAGTCGATCCTGCGTGATCGTCCGTGCGTCCCTATGAAGGTGTCCTCACTGACAAAGAAGGTGTCGTGGTCCGAGAGGAACCGTTGCCAAAGACGACCAGGGAGGCCCTCCAGCTCCAGGAAGGTGCCCACGGCGCCGTCGACCTCGCTCCACAAGTCGGGCACGAGCAGGGACGAGGAGCCGAGAAACGTCTCGTCCACGGAGTCGCCGAACTGAGGTCCGCCCCGCTGAAGGGCGTGCGACGACTGCCCACAGACTCCATCATGGTGCGTGCCCACGAGGTCATAGCCTGGGCCACCTGGCTGTATGAGTCGGACTCGGATGGCACGGAGAGGTGCCGAACCATGAGGAGCACGTCCGAGGAGCGGCACTGTCGCGCCGCAGCGGCCCGAGAGCGCCGCGGGCGGAGGGTAGACCAGACGTAGGTGTGCCTGCAGAAACCGCTGATGTAGGAAGATGCTCCCCCCGAAGCTCTTGTTGGTCCAGCCGAAGGAGAGCTCCCAGTGGTAGTCGTGCTGAAAGAGGCTGTGGCGGCCGTCCAGAGTCGGGCGGCGGCTCATCCCAGGGAAGAGGATCTCGCCCATGTAGTGCTCGCGGGTGATCTCCTGCGCGCGGGTGCTGCCCGTCAGGTAGAGAGGGATGTACTCGTAGAGCCTGGTGTGCGGAGCAGGTTGCGGCTCTCGCTCCTGAGTGCGTCCAACGGCGCGGCAAGCGCCTGTCGACGATCGGGCGGCCGCCCGCGGCGAGAAGCCGACGGCCGCGAGCAAGAGGAGAGCCGCCATCATGGGCCTCTTGGGCCCCGCGGGCGAGTGGGCATCGCGCGCTGCTCCCCTGGCGGGCGATGAACAGGGTAGGAGGGCCGCGTGTCCCGCGCCCTTCAGCCGTGGCGGCGGCTAAGGGAGGAGGAGGAGGAGGAGGAGGAGGAGGAGGAGGAGGAGGAGGAGGAGGAGGAGGAGGAGGAGGAGGAGGAGGAGGAGGAGGAGGAATCATGCTATGCCGTCATCCCACTGCCCCTTCCCGCCTGCCTGTCCGCCTGCCCCATCCCGCCGGCCCTACCTCCCACAAGCGTGCACGTCGTCGCGTGCCTGCTTCACACTTACTCCATATGAATACAACTCGCCCTTCTCCCCTGACCCAATGCGGAAGATGGCGCTCTTCCTTCGCATATTTTCACAAGCGCACACAATATTTCAAACATTGGTATTTCCTAGGCTGTTTTTCAATCGGAATGTTTTCGGTGTCTCAAAGAGGTGCTCCCACTGCAGAGCTGGCTTCATTTTAGGATCGGCGATTTGCTTCCATCTTTGCAGAATGGTGCTCTCGCCCAAGCGTGGGCCCATTCTCTGGATCCGAGTGCTTCCTCATCGTTGTCGGCCCGTTCCTCTTCCCTCCCCTGCCTTTCCCTTGGCATCCTGCTCATCCCGATTCTCCCACTCCTGCTCATGCTGCTGCTGCAGTTCTTCCTTGTCCTCCTCCTCCTCCTTCCTCGTCCTCCTCGTCCTCCTCCTCATCAGCCTCGTCCTTCTGCTTATCTGCCACCACCTCCCCCTCCCGTGTACGCAATTACCCTTTTGTGATTGCGCATGATGCAATACGGGTCCTTTGGGGGGCTCCAGGTCCGCTATGCTACGCGTCAGCGGATAGAGAAACAATCAGCGCAATGGGAAGGGACGGGTGGGAGGGGTAGGATGTCAGATATGGCGCGAGCGCACCACCCTAGATTGTCTTTTCCTCTCACCATCCACCCGCTGGGCAACACGGCCTGCCCACAGGAGGCGTCGCGGCGCGGGAAGGAGCGGAACTCGGGAAACAATGGCAGTATCAATGCCACGCTGGTCGGACGACCCCATCAGCGTGCCACTGTTGAAGCAAGGCTAGGTTCTTGCACAACAGAGGATAGGGGTAGCACGTGCAATTTGAGAGACGCCGCGCGTGTCGTTGACATCATTTGTTCCTCATTCCTCGAGGAGGGCTGGCAGCTGGAGTCAGGGAGGCGCAGTGAGCGGGCGCCCCTGTCCTGGATTCCGGGACGCTCTCGATTGGCATGTCGAAGTCGCCCATGCCGTCGCCCACCTCTGGACGTATAGATGGCGGCGGTCGACAGATGCTCTCGAACAGGGGGCGAACTGTGAAATAATGAATTCTGATGGACGAATGTGGTGGGCGAGCGCAATGATCCTCCATTCCTGCTCCTCCTACTCCTCCTCCTCCTCCTCCTCCTCCTCCTCCTCCTCCTCCTCCTCCTCCTCCGATCCTCCGCCTCCTGTTCCTCTTCCGATCCTCCTCCTCCTCCTCCTCCTCCTGCTCCTGCTCCTCCTCCTGCTCCTGCTCCTGCTCCTGCTCCTGCTCCTGCTCCTGCTCCTGCTCCTGCTCCTGCTCCTGCTCCTGCTCCTGCTCCTGCTCCTGCTCCTCCTCCTCCTCCTCCTCCTCCTCCTCCTCCTCCTCCTCCTCCTCCTCTTTCCCCCCCGAAGCCCCCGCGGAGACTCCCAAAGATCCTTGGGGGACCTCTGGAGCCCTCCGGGATGGCGAACGTAGAGGATCCTAGCGACAAGCGTGGGCCCGCGCGGAGATTGTTATACACCGCTGCGGCAGAGGCAATCCCAATCGAAGGAGTCAACCGCCGCTACGGCCTCGACCTCGATAGCGGCGGCACTTCCCCGTAGCAGCACGGCAGAGGCGATCCGCGCGCGCGATCCAGTTGGCCGGGCTCGGGCGCGCACGAAGTGTCCAGCTGCAAGAGAGAGGGCGGGGCCGGAGGACGGCCGCGGAGAGCGGGAGACAGAGGGAGGGCATTCGCAGCACGAAGACCTTCGACTGGAGTGGCCAGAGCGGCCAGCCTGTGCTGGGGTAGCCTGGCAGTGGGCGCGGAGCGGCAGGCAGGGGCCACCGCGGCGCCCAGCAGGGCTGCCGGGGGCCAAGACGGCTGGGCATGCGAGAGGCTGTGGCTGGGGCCGCGCGGCAGGGTTGCTGGCACTGGCGCCCGTGAGGCTGCCTGGAGCCAGGGCTGCTGCGCTGGGCACCGCCAGCAGCGGGCAGCGACGTGCTGCAAGCCGCCGCGGAGACGCCCCGGGGAGGAGCACCGAACCCAGCCAGTGCACGCATCGCGGCCGGGTGCGGCACAGACGGCTCGCCACAGGGCTGGCGAGGCGGGGCGCCTCGCTGCAGGCGCGGCGGGGCAAAGAGGAAGAAGGCGCCGTCCCGGCTGGTGCACGCAACGCAGCAGAGAGGCCACTGGGCCGCCGCGCCGCGAAGCCAGCCAGGCGTGGGGGACTCCCCACATGCGACAGCCAAGGGCCGCGGGGCCCTGGCAAGGCGCACGGCTCATGGGAGGCGGCGCCGGGGGGAGCCAGCCGGGGCGGTGCAGGGGCCCCACCCACGAAGCCTCCCAGACAGCGGAGGGAGCTGCGCCAGCAGGGAGCACGGCGGGCGCGCCGACGATTGCCCACCTCGGGACGTCGCACCGGATCGGTGCGCAGACAGGCGTGGAAACACCCGCCTGGAGGGGCGTGGAGGCGCCCACTCGGGGCGGGCGCGCCAGCCGGGGAGGGAGGGGGAGAATCCACCCAGGGGGGGGGGGGGGGGGGCGCGCCCGAGAGGAAGAGGGGAAGGGAAGGCGCGTCGCCCCGGGGGGTGGCGCGCCCTCGGGGGGAGCACCGGGTCCGCGCGCGTGCAGGCGGTAAGGCGGTGGGCCTACCTGAGAGGGCTGGCACCGTGCAGGCTGCCAGTGCTGCGGGGTGGGCCCGAGGGCCCAGCGGCAGGCGCAGGGCTCGGGAGCCAAGTGCCCGATGGGGGGCAAGTCCGAGAGCGCGTCGCGGGCCGGAGGCACCACTGGCGGCGGAGCGGACTTGGAGGCTGGGTCCCCCGCATCCAGGACTGGTCCCCGGCTGGCCAGGAGGCGCCGCTGGCCCGCTTGCCTCCCTGGCTTTCCCCCCTGCCCGCGCCTGTCGGTCCTGCTGCTGGCGCGGCACATCGCCCCAGTCGGCTTCGATGTGGCGGTGCTGGCAGAAGGCCCCTTTGTCATAGTAGGAGGCGGCCAGGTCCTCCAGGAACTGCCTGCGGAATCCATCGAAGCTGCCAGGGTTGTAGCGTCCCCTACCTCGTCCCTAGCCAGCCCTCACGTCGCAAGCCCGGCTGCAGCCCTCCATGGAAAGTGTCCCGCGGGTGCCGCCTGAAGCGGCTGATGAGCTCCGGCCAGGTCTCCACGCGGTTCTCCCTCGAGTCCCACTGCGGCGCCCAGCGGATGCTGTATCGAGGCACCTTGTAGATGCTGTCGTTCGGGTCGTTCCGATCACGGCGGCGGTGCGCGTGGTCATCCCCGCAACCGCGGGCGCTCTGGGCCGGAGCGTGGCGCCTGTGGGGCCAGCTGCCCCAGGAGGTCCTGGAAGGGCCGCCTGCGCCGCCCGTGTCCCAACTGGACGGCGAACCGCGCGCCAGGCTGAGGCGTCTGGGGACGCGCGCCTCGCGCCGCCAATTCCCAGGTCGCCAAGGCCAGCCTGCGAGTCACCCCCCTCTTGGACGTCAGCACCGTCGGCGCTGCTGGCGGGGTGGCCCCCCCGGGTGATCCGGGCCAGGTTCGCGCAGTCCGTCCCGTCCCAGAGCGTGACCTTACACGGCTCCAATCCGGGCGCGGATGTGCTGCCCCGCCCGTACCTCCTCCACTGGCCCTACCACCGAGACGGGCGGGAGGTCGGGCCAGAGTCGCCCTCCCGTCTCGTCGGCCTGAGCGCGCCGCCGTCGTCCCTGGCCAGTTGGTAGTGGCCTGCCCGCACGTCAGGCGCGATGCCTGTGCGCTGCTGTGTGACGGCCAGCCTCATGGAGGGAACGAAACCGAGGCGGTGCCCGTCGCCAGTCCTGGTGCTCCCTAGCTGGTCCAGACTGCCTTCCAGGTTGTCGGGGCGGGGCGGGGGCGGCTGTCCCTCCCCATCGCCGCCTCTGTCATCGCCGCACCTTGCCAAGCCTCTTCAGTGTCAGGAGGTAATCGCCTGGCGTGGTCCGCCATCGCGTGGACGATAGTCTCGTCTTGTCGACGTGGTTTGCTGTCAGGGTCCATCCGATTGGCCAGGGCCAAGGCGTCGAGTGCGCGGCTCGCCAGCGCTGGGGGTCGGGGCGGAGGGAGAGGATCCAGGTCTGGCAGCACAGAGGCACCGTCTATAGGCGACAAGGTCCGGTCAGCCCGCGGCTCGTTCTGGAGGAGCGGCGGCGGGTGCGCCGGCCAGAGAGCGAACCAGCCTGCAGAAGAGGACGACGATGGAGAAAGGGCCGGCTCCGAGCGTCGGCACGACATCCCCGCGCAACTCCACGCTCACCCTCGTGGGGGCCGTGGCGGCCTCCCGCTGGCAGGCTGGGCTGGCATCCGTCCTGGGCCGCACGTCGCCCGATCGCCCAGGAGACCAAGTGGGCAGGCATACGCCGCCGGCAGGTCCCTGCCCAGCCCCACTGAGGGGGCCCCGGGGCACACAAAGAAATATACACACAAATCAAAAGATTCCCCATCTCTGTCCATGCTTTCTGGGTTCTTGCCTTCCCCCCCACTTCCCATAGTTCCCCATACTTTCTGGGGATCTACGATTCCTTGTGTCTGTGTGTTCCCTCTCCTCCAGCCCCACGCGCAAACGAAGCGGGTGGGCCAGCGTCCGGGGCCGTGCCGCCCTCCCGCATGCGGCGGCGCGGGGAGCTGCCGCGGGGCAGGGCTTTCTGCGAGCGCCGGCGGGGCCGTGCGGCGGCCTGCCGGGCGCCTGCTGCAAATTTGGACGCCCGAAATGGGTACCGAAAGAATGGGCACAATGCCCAACAGCAAATGCTGTCCCAAACCAACAGCGGCCGCTGTTGGGCAGGCGGCCTCCCGTCTCGAATGGACACAGGCCGCGGCGGCGCGGACAGCAAATCCTGTTCAAAATGAACAGGAACTGCTGTTGGGCATCGTACCCATTCTTTCCGTGCCCATGTCGGGCGTCCAGAGCAGAGGCTGATGCGGAGCTGGTCGATGGCCGGGTTCGCACGTTCGGCTGCGCGCAACCCAGACCCCCTCGAGTCATGAAAAAATCACGACGGGAGGTTTTTCCATATTTTCGGCCTCTGGGGGCCCCTACCGGGCCTCGGGAGCGTCAAGAAACGACTCAGGGGGCAACACCGGTCCTGGGGAATGGGTCCAAACCTCTGGGGGTCGACGTCATGAAAAAATCATGACGTCGGGGGTCTGGGAAGAGTGACCCTGGGTAGAAGTGACCTTCCCAGACCCCCGACGTCATGATTTTTTCGCAACGTCGACCCCCAGAGGTCTGGACCCCTTCTCCGGGACCAGCTTTGCATCCCGAGTCGTTTTTTGCCGCTCCCGAGGCCCGGTGAGGGCCCCGGAGGCCGAAAATATGGAAAAACCTCCCGTCGTGATTTTTTCACGACGCGAGGAGGTCGCGCTTTGGTGCGCAGCTTTTCGGGGACCGCGGGAGGGCCAAGCACAAGCGCGCGAGACGCTACCATCGCGTCGCATTCGGCGATCGGGGGACCCCACTGGGCCCGCACCAAAGGTCACTCCGGCGAAAGGTCACTCTTACGTCTAGTCGAGACTTGCACCTCGTGTAGCGCAGGCGCCCAGGCCACGGAGCTGCCGCCTGGCGACAGGGGCCTGCTGCTTCCAGGGGCCTGCAGGCTGAGGCGGCGGTGGGTGCCTGTGAGCTGGTGGCTCGCCCAATCAGGGGGGTCGGCGCCCAGGTTCGCGGGGGTCGAGGCGGCCCTGCGTCTGCGCCTGGGCGACGGCGGGGTACTGTCACGTCGCGGTCAAGACGCATGGTGCCTCTCCCTCCACGCTGCCTCCAGCGCAGCCTTCGCTCTCTGCTCCCAGTCGGTGAGAAGGGCGGATCGCTGCTTCACGCTCGCCGTGTCCAGGAGGCTCATACTGTCCTGGAAGTCGCTGAGGTCTGCAAAGGCTCCGAGCGGGTCGGCAGCGATCTTGGCGGCCTGTCGGGCCATGCGCTGGTCTAGGTCGTCGCCCAGGTCCTGCATGCTGGCGGCGGCAAGAGCTGCTTGGGCCTTCAGGGGGTTGGCGCCCAGTCTGGCCTCGGGCGCTGCCTTGTCGCGCGGCTGCGGCTTTCCAGGGAAGACCGTAGCTCCGCCCCTAGCCCAGGGAGGCACGCACATGAGCAGGCCGATCGTCCCAGGCATGGACTGGGCAATCTGCGCAGTACTACGGGGCACTCCAGGTCGTCTACCTGACGGCGCGAACCCAGTCGCGTTGGCTGGAGCGCCGCACACCAGGTCCCGAGTCAGCATGTCGTTCCTGCTGCCCTCGTCGGGGCGGAAGGCGAACATGCCCAGCGGAGGCTCCACCGTCTTCCATACCAGGATTGGCGCCGCGGCCGGGCAGCCGCCGCACTTCCCCTCGTGTCCCTTGCGCGCCGCATGCACGCCGAGGCCGTCATCTTTGGTCTGGCTCCGGGGGATGGTGGTGCCAACTGCGGCTGGGCTGTGAGGGCCCTCCTGCGGTGGGAGGAGGTGGGCCAATTGGGTGCTGTCTGACGGCTTCGCCGCCTTGCCTCCGGAAGGGAATGGACGGCGTAGATGCCGCTCGCTCTCTGGCGGAGGCTGACTGTCCAGGACGCGGAGGAAGGTGGGAAGCTTGACGTTGTCCGATATTGGTTCTCCGCGGATGCCAAACTCGTCCCTCCAGCACCCGACACAATGCCACCGGCAATTCCCCCCCCCCCCCCGCTTGTAGGCTGTCTTCCTGTTGGTTTCCGGGAGCTGACAGATCATGGCGATGACACACGCGCGCACGGAAACACGAAAGGTACGCACATGCACAGGGAGACACAGGCATGCGTATGCACGGACATACACGCATGTATAAACGAATGCGCAGACAAACGATCAAGCACAAGAACACATGCGCAGTCACACGCGCACACACACACTCACTCACACAATTCTTGGCGTCGCGGTCGTGCGCGCGGCGGGACGAGGCAGTCATGAGCCCGCACACACAGACACACGAACATGCACAAACGACTCTGTGTCAACCGCCGGTATCCGAATGCAGCTGCAAGTAAACGGTCGCGTAAGATCACCGTGGCAACAATCCGCATAATCCTACATGGCCACCATGAGCAGGACAGATTTGCTCCATGTTCCCGGAGTATTTCGTAGACAAACGATAAAGCATGGCGTGGCCCGTACACTTACACCGTTGCAAGCCCCTGGCGCAGTATCGCAACTGCCAACACAAACGCACGCACATGCGCGCGCCCAGGCTTTCCGGCCCCCCCCCGCTGACAGCGCGAGAGGGTGTACGTGCAACGCGGTCCTGCGCACACCTGCCGATGCGCGGCCCGACACACGGTGGCCTCGACCCAACCATGCCGATCTGCCCCGAGGCGCGGAGGGCCTCGATCGAGAGGCAGCTTGGCCGCCCGCGCCCCGATCGATTGCAGAAGCGAACTGGCCGAGCCCCCGTCGGCCGAGCGCGGCCTCCGCAGCCGACGGGCGGGGCGCAGCGGCGAGGCGCAGCGCGCCCGCCGCGGCGAAGCCAGCTGCCCTCTGGTGCGTGCGGGGGGGCTCAGGGCCCCGGCGTGGTCGCGCCATTGCATGGCAGCCCCGCCGAAGGGCGGACGCCAACCACCCCGTGCTCCCCAGACCCCCTCGAGTCATGAAAAAATCACGACGGGAGGTTTTTCCATATTTTCGGCCTCCGGGGGGCCCTACCGGGCCTCGGGAGCGTCAAAAAACGACTCAGGAGGAAACACCGATCCTGGGGAATGGGTCCAAACCTCTGGGGGTCGACGTCATGAAAAAATCATGACGTCGGGGGTCTGGGTCAGAGGCGGCTGTTCGTTCCCTTGCACCGATTCGCTGTCCCTGCTCCCCCACCCTCGAATAAGCGGCGTGGATCAACCCGCGAAGCTCGGTCCACAAGCCACGCTGCAGAGCCGCCGGCCTCTGGCGTCGAATCGCCTCCTGCCGCCGCCGTCGGCGCCACCGCTGCTGCTTCCCCTCCACTTCGTATGCCCTTTCTGCTGCCACTTCCCCTTTGGCATGCCAGATGGGGCCACGTATTCGTACTGCACCACGCGGCGGTAAGTGCCCCGCCGCTCGCCCACGTACGACAGCTTGTTCGGGTCCCACGGCGGTGGCTGGCGACGCGAAGAAGACTGGGGGAAGGGTCGGAGAATGGTAGAGCCTGGCTGGCAAGAACGTGTGCGGCGTGGAATGCGACAGGAACGTGGCGCAGACAACGTAACCAGGGGAGACAACGGCAAGCCCACGACTCCCCCAAAGGCGTGCCATCCCCATCGATGCGGCCTTTCTCCCCTCGGAGTAGAGCGTGGGGAGGAAGCGTCTGGAGGTGTACTTACTGAGCTTGCGGTCTGCACTCGGAGGAAGATCGCACAGCATATGGCATGTCATGGTCAACTTCTGAGGAAGGCAGCACGGCTGAGGGAAGGGGGCGCTGTCGATCGACTCCTGCTCTGACAGTCGCGTCTCAGCTTGAGGACCTCGCTGTGTCGCAGGGCTGGCCCATACGCTCCTGCGCACGGAGCGACCTCGTGTGCGGAATGGGAGGCCGAATCTGGCCAGCTAGACGGGTACTCTTGACGCAACGTCTTGCTCGGAGCACGTTCTGGCACGTCTTCCCAGGCGAGCCCAGCCGTGGCGACAAGGGCCCCCCCCCGGGCGCCCCCAAACGGCAACACCATGATGCCAGTGCGTAGTGCAAAGCATGTTTTACATCGTTTGAGATTCAGTCTGCTGGATCGATCTGTTGGTCTGCGACTGATGGGGCGTAGCCTGCGAGTTGCAACACGTGGTTTGCAGCATGTAGACAATACTACGCAGCACCGGGTGTAATTACTTCTCAATTTCACCAGGCTGCACATAGGGGGCACCCTTCACAGTATCCTGCCATCTGACAGCAAACAAGGGAACTGCTCGGGTGAGGTGAAGTATTGTCTAGCCACAACCGTCAGGGGGCCCTGCTGACAGGAATCTATGATCATCGTGTCGCGTCGGCGGCCCCTGCGACGCGGTGCGCCTTTTGCAAGCTGATAGCATGTCGATATGCTCGGCTAGGAAGAGCTCGGGACGCTGATTCTCGGGCACTGGGACGTGCTTAGCGTGTCGAGCCGAAGCGTGGTGGAGCCAAACTGGCGGCGCGACGTGCTAAGCAACGCTTCCTGTCCATATCATCAGGCTGCAGACGCTGAGATCCTCAAAGGGGCGTGGCGCCGAGCACCGCCAAAAGCTCCCGACACCTCGGGCCCAAGCGCCAGATCACAAGTAGGGACATCCCCAAGCAACCGTAGCGCCGTGCACCGACCTCAGCCGCAGTTTTCGACACCCTCAGCAGGTCTGTCACCGACGCGGGTAAGACCGCCCAAGCTGCAAACACCCCGCGGGGGAGCGACGCCCGCTTCCCTCCTCCTTCCCCTCCCTCCCTCCCCCCTTTCTCCCTCCCTTCCCCCCTCCCCCCCCCTTTCGACCCCGAGGCTGCAACCCTGGGCGAGCCCGTGCGCTCCCGCATCTCCCCCGTCGAGCACAGAGGGGGGCGAGCGGCCCCTCGCGGAGCCCCCGTGCCAGAGGAGGGCCACGGCGGATGGGGCCAGGGTGGATACCGTCGCCCCAGGCCGAATTCGAGACGGCGCATTGGTGCTTGGGTCGCGCAGGGACCCCTTCCCCTCCTCCGCCTCCTCCTCCTCTTCATCCTCACCATCATCACCATCCTCATCGTCCTCATCATCCTCATGCCCAGCCTCATCCTCAGCCTCAGCCTCAGCCTGATCCTCATCCTCGTCCTCATCCAATTCCTCGTCTTCTTCCTCATCCTCATTCTTCCCTTATCCTCACCCTCGTCCTCATCCCTAGCCTCATCCTCTTCCTCCTCCTCCTCCTCCTCCTCCTCTTCTTCCAACTTCTCCTCCTCCTCATCATCATTGTCGCCCTCATCTTAATCACCATCACCATCGCCACCACCATCAGCATTAGCATCACCACTACCATCATCATAAGTGTCGTCACCATCATCAACAATATCATGATCACCATCACCAGGATCACCACCATCACCATCATCGTCACGCCGTCATCATCATCACTATTATTCTCATCATCACAATCGTCGTCGTCATAATCATCGTCTTCAACACCACCATCATCATCACCATCATCACCATCACATACATCATGTACATCATCTTCTGCATCATCTGCAACATCATCATCACCATCAGCATCATCACCATCATCATCACCATCATCATGCTCATCACCATCATCATGGTCATCATCATCAATATCATCATCACCATCACCATCACCATCACCATCACCATCACCATCACCATCACCACCATCACCATCACCATCACCATCACCATCACCATCACCATCACCATCATCATCATCATCATCATCATCATCATCATCATCATCATCATCATCATCATCATCATCATCATCATCATCATCATCATCATCATCATCATCATCATCATCATCATCATCATCATCGCGGTCCTTTATCGACAGACGCGCGCCAGAGCGTTGTGTGTGTGTGTGTGCGTTGCCGCCAAGCTCACGTACTCCACCCATGCGGCCGCACCCTCACCATAGACACCGCAACCACGTACCATTTCGGTAGCCTTGTTTACACGCGACTTCTGAAGTGGCAATGCCCGCTGATCATCAGACGCCGCGTCGAGCCGCGACCAGCAGGAGCAGGGGCCAATGCTGCCCTGGAGGGCCGCGATCATCTGTGGTGTGCCGATCATCAGACTCCCCGTCGGGCCGCGACTGGCAACGGCAGGGGTCAACGCTGCCACGCAGGGCGGCGATCCATCTGCGACGAAAAAGGGCACTGGACCGACCCGCCTACGGCGAGGGGCGGGCGCCGGCGCCATTGGGGCCTGGTGAGCCTCTGGGGTCAACGCGGCCCACCAGGGCCAATCTCTGAGACCCCAACGACACGCTCCCGCACGCTGAGCTGTACATTCGTCATGGCGGTCCTTTTATCGTCGGACGCGCGCCAGAGCGTCGCGTGTGTGTGTGTGTGTGTGTGTGTGTATGTGTATGTGTATGTGTGTGTGTATGTGTGTGTGTGTGTGTGCTTGTTTGTTTGTTTGTTTGTTTGTTTGTTTGTTTGTTTGTTTGTTTGTTTGTTTGTTTGTTTGTTTGTTTGTTTGTGTGTATATATATATATATATATATATATATATATGTGTGTGTGCGTTGGCGCCGGGCTCGCGTGCCCCACCCATGCGGCCCGCGTCGACATTGCAACCACCTACCACTCTGGAAACCACGCTTGCACGCGACTGCCGAAGCGGCAAGGCCCGCTGACCATCCGGCGCCCCGTCGGGCCGCGACCCGCTGCAGCAGGGGCCGGCGCTGCCCCGGAGAGCCGCCCGAGGTCAGCTGTGTGGGGCGACTCGGGATCTCCAAACGCCCGCAGGAAGCAGTGATGGGCGAATTCTGAGCACTGCTTCAGTGCGCTCTCTGTCGGAGTATTGTCGCCCAGCCTGCCCGGCGCAGCCCTTGCCGCCTTTCGGTGCCACTTGACTCCTGCGGCGCCAACCTCCCTTGCCCTCTTCGGACCCATGGCGCGCGACTTGGGGCGTCGGCGGAGTTGTTCGCTGCGCGGATGCACGCGAAGAGCGGCGCGCTGAAAGCGGCGAGGCAGAATACGTTGAGGCGATGCAGCATGGCATTTAGGCGCTTCGACGACGAACGGCCTTTCGCGCGACAGCAAGTGTCGCCTGCTAGCCCGCGAACATTGACGCCCTCGAGCCGAGGGGCTTGACATTGCGCATCTTCCAACGGAGTGCGTTGTATACCATCTGAAGGTCCAACTCATGGATGTGGCGGGGCCGATGAAACCTCGGGGCAGCCGCGTAGTGCCACGCCCGCCGCCTCTGATTAAAGCTGTTAGGCGGTTAGGCGTCGTGGCGGTGCGGAGCTCCAAAGTCAAGCCACGCGTCGCTGCTTCGGTGGTCAGCGCGGCGGAACAGTTCTAGCATCATGCTGCCTATGAGCCAGTGGGAACTGCGCTCCGAAGATGGCTGGGCGACCGCCCCGAACATCTGCGTGGCAAGAAGCTCGCGGTCCAGCCTCTGCAGGTCCAACAGGAAGGCCTTCCACTTCGCCGCGTGCTTGTAGAGCGCGCGCCGGACAACGCTTGGCGTTGAGGGTTGCCCTGGGAGGCCAGCGCCATGGGGCCCCCAGTCTACCGACCGCGCCGTGGCCGCGGCGTGGAAAGAGTTGCCGAGATGCGAGCGTCGCTTGTCTTCAAGCTCACGCGACTCCTGCCAATCGAGCTTGTCCAGCTCCCGCCTCCCGCCGAGCGTGCACCCTGGCCATGAATGTCTCCCGCTCGCTCGACGTCGCCGCGGACCCCGGGCTCGCGGTGCAGTTCTCGGGCTCCTCACGTGCGCCGCGTCGACCCCCGGGCGGTGCTGCGGCGCGTGCTGACGCGGTGGGAACTGGTGCCAATCCCCCATCCTGTGCTCGATGGTGATGGCGACGCGCCTTTCGATCCCTCCAGGGTCGCGTCCTGGCGGCGTGCGAGGCGCCGCGCGCGCGAATGTCGGCGAGCGCTGCTCTGGCGGCGCTTGCCAAGTCCAGCCCTCGTCGAGCCGCAGCTCGCGCGGCTCCAGCGGGGCCTCGAGCTCGACTGAATCCACGAGGTCACCCGCGGTGACTTTGATCCCCTCCGTTTCCACGATCGCGAGGACGGGCCAATGCAGCCGGGGGCGGGCCACCGCGGAGACTCCGATGGAATCGATGCACGGCGGTGGCGAGCCTGGGCCTCTGACATCACCGCGGCGTCCTGCGCCCTGTGCGAGGCCAGGTTCGCGCGGGAATAGATGGCGGGGGTGTCGTGGAAGACGACTCTGAGCTTGACCTTTAGCCGTGGGGCCTCAACGAAGAGGGCGGACCTGGGGTCAGTTTGCCCTGTCCGCTCGCGGTTGAAGCCGCTGCCAGCCTGGAAGGGCGGGCCAGGGGCAGCGGCCGCAGCTGTCGCCCCAGGGCGCGCGCGACGCAGGTCGGAGAACGCTCGGTGTCGCCTGGCCAATTGCGCCGATGCGCCCTTCTGGTTGCATTATCGGTCTCAACGTAGCCAGCGCGAGCGACGTGCGCG